AACCTCCSCATGGCTGCTGTTTGATTTCTGTGGCACGTTTTGAGGACTGCAGCAGTGTCACCAAGCCCTGAGCCAGCTGTGGGCTGCTAGTGCCACCTGGAGTTAAGGAACCRCTCCCAAAGCCTGCCAGATCGCAGAGCCTGGACCACAGAGCCTGCCATGCCCCCAGAGCAGCACCAGGCTCTGGCCAACGGCTCTGGACCCCATTTCCAMAGCCTGGACACTCCAAAGGCTCAGCACAGGGAGCCAGGCTAAGCTGGGCAGCAGAGCTGCAGCCACTGGAAGCCTCAGCCCAAGAAAGGCCAGCAAAGGCCACCAAATGCTTTTAAAAACCAGGTTGCCAAACACTTGAAAAGCCTRGCCTTCAGTAATTCTCTGAAGTCAGCCTCTTGCTTGCCCATCCCCAGTGCAAACCACAAGCCAAGGCACAGCTTTAGTTCCATCACAAAGTCATAGCACAACAGTGGGAGCAGCTGCTGAAGCGGCCCAGACTGTGTCAGATAAGAGCTGTCTCTTAATGCACTTGTCTCTTACKTGGAGACAAGAAAAATAGAGGTGTCCTGGGCACCCTGGGGCTATATCGTACATTCTTGAACCAGTAAGGACAGAAAGATCCAACTGGACTGCAGCAAAACTGTCCCTGGAGGAGCAGACACCACGGAATAATTTGTGTCAACAAAATAACAGTGTCAGTGGGCTCAGCCTTGGCATCATTAACCCATTCCCACTGTGCTGCCAGGCACAGAAAGCAGGGATTGGTTTGGTGCTGTCCCAGCAGGAGAGAGCAAAGCACAGAGMATGGCAGAAACACAGTGTGAGCAGCCTGGGAAGTCATGGAAYGGTCTGGGCTGAAGGGAMYTAAAGCYCAYCCAGTGCCAACCCTGCYGTGATCAGGGACAYCTCCCACTGTCCCAGGCTGCTCCMAGCCCCAATGTCCAACCTGGCCTTGGACACTGCCAGGGATCCAGGGGCAGCCACAGCTGCTCTGGGCACCCTGTGCCAGGGCCTCCCCAYCCTCMCAGGGAACAATTCCTTCCCAAAGKCCCACCTAACTCTGCCCTGTGGCAGTTGGGAAGCCATTGCCCCTTGAAGCCTTCTGAGCAAACACTGAGCTCTCAAGGTTTGGGTTCATCTCCCCTGCTCCATTCCTGTCACTGCGTCAGAGCTGACCTGGGGCTGCTGAACACCCTCTGTGATGTGCCAGGGCTGCTGCAGGTGGCTGGCACTGGGACACATCCTGTCTGAGCTCCAAATAGCTCCAGCAAGGCAGTGCCCTGGAACAATCCTTTCCCCAGCTGCCAGCACCCAGCAGGATGGGCTTGGTTTCCGTCACACCAGCAGCATCAATAAAACATTTGGCAAATGCAGGGGCAGCTGTGACTGACGATGGCACCAAAGCCAGGAGAGCACAGTCATGGTCAGTCCAAGCCATGGAACAGCCTGACAGGGAGGGACTCCAGGGTGATTCAGTCCAGCCCGTGGCCCTGCCCAGATCCCACAACAATTCCCCCTGTGCATCCCTGGCAGTGCTGTCCAAACGCTCCTGGAGCTCTGGCAGCCTCAGGGCCGGGACCAGTCCCTGGGGAGCCTGGGCAGTGCCCAGGACTCTCTGGGGACAGAAGAAACTTTCCCTGAGATCCAGCCTGACCCTCCCCTGACACACAGAAGGGTGTCTGGTTTGGTTTTCTGTTTGTTTTAYAGGAAAAGAAAACCCTCTGTTTTCCTACTTTCATCTTTCCTATTGAAACAGCAGCTTGAGGCTCCCTCTAAAGCTCACCAAGGATTTAAAAGCACTTCCTGGGGAATCGGGAACAGTGGAAAGGCTCACACATCTTTCACCATGTACCAAACCCTCCTGGCTCCCAGGCCAAGCAAAAACAACTTCCATGCTAGAAGGGATTGTTTCAAGAACCTGTGAGCAACCCCAAAAAGTGAATGTGAGGTTAGGCTGGATTGACTAAGCACCACAGGAAGCACTATCAGGAGAAGATGGTTTCTGTTCTCAGTTTGTTTCAGTTGTCTGAGGCTACCTGAACACATAAAATGACTGCAGCATTAACAGGAGCACTGCAAACCCCACTGCCTGCCACTGCCAGCCTCTCCCCCAGCACTGGGCACCCACCAGAGCCCCAGGGCTGTGCTGGCCACYGATGGAATTGGAATTGTGCTGGCTCTGGCTGGGACTTTCAGGAGCAGCTATTGCTCAGTACCTGTTATCGAGGCATCTGCAAGCAGGCAGCTCCAAAGGCTCATACCCCTATAGCCCCATGGGGAGGCTAAATTTAGCCAAAATTCAATGCCAGGGCTGAAATAAAAACCTTTGCCTAAACACTATTCCCTGTAGCTCCAGGAAGGTAAACTGCTTTGAAGGTGAATCCACAGTGAGCATGACAATGGTCTGAGGAGATGCTGCTCCAAGGAAAATCTCAGTTATGCAACTGCAATATCAAAGAGCAGCCTTCTCCTGAGCCACTAATACTCATTTCCCTTCTCTTGAGCTAATTATGCCCTCGGGGATACTCTTGAAAAGACACTGAGCCAACACCCAAAGCAACCAGTTGGTGCTAAATAAATGAGAATCTTTTGACTACACTGCACTTGTTATTTTAGGGGGAATGATGCTGAGGGAAGAAGGGAATTGTTTTATTTTTGTAGCCACAAAAGCCCTCCTGGTGTGTTATTTACAGGAAAAAATGTTATATGACATGAAAAAAAGCAGGTTCTCTCTTTCACAGCTGAGTGACCAGTGAAGAATTTGGTGAGCAGCAGAGGAGGGAGAGCTGGGAGAGACAGCTGTGACTGTGAGGACACAGCAATTCAGAGTTGGAAAGCGCAGATTTCTGTAGGCAGATCCTACAGGTGGCTCCAACACTGGCACCACCCTGAGCACTGCAGCAAGGGAGAAATACGAACCCACTTATCTGCTAATACATTCCTACCCCTAGAGAAGCACAAGGTATCAGAGCTCTCTGGGAGCCTTCCTTGTGTCAAAAGAATGGTAGGAAGATGACCTTCCCTCCAGCACTGCTTTGATTTTGCAAATGGCCACTTTCTACAAAAGCAGAGTTTCATTCTCACACCCCAAACCTAAACCACCAGGGGCTGGTGAGCCTGAGCCAGGGGGAAATGCTCCAACCACCTCACAGAGGCCAGCMCTGAGTCCCGCCCCACCCCACTGCTTTATTCAGCAGTAACTAAATATAGGAACAAATAAAACCAACAGACTGCCACCYTCAACACAAAACCAAGTAAAATACAAACACAGTAAAATACAGGACAAACAAAACCAAAGGAACTGCCACCACACCTCAGCCTTCAGGAGTGAGGCTGACAAAAAAGATGGATTGCTCCAAGGCTTGCCCTGGCCCCAGTCAGCAGCCCCTCCACAAGGGACATGAGCAGAAGGCAAAGTCTCTGCCACGCCCTGCTGAGCCTTTGTCTCATTCCTTCGCACCACAAAGTTCAAGAAGAGCTCTTGGCTTCCCAGCTGTGCCAAGGCTGATGGAAACACAGCCACCTAACCTGTCACACTGCGGGTGGGCAGAGCACAGCGRGCACCTGCAAAGCTCATGCCAAAGGACAGCTGAGCCCCTGGGAGCAGCTGTGCTGGGATCCAGCGCTGCTGGACTCTGCCAGGACATGCCAGGATTCCAGAGCTCAGCTCTCAGTCCCACAGGTGCATTCCCAGAGAGCTGCCCATCCCTGGAAGCGCTGAATAAACTGAGGATGTGGCACTTGAGGTCATGGTTTAGTGCTGAACAGGTGTTGATGGGTGGACTGGCTGATCTTAAAGACCTTTGCCAACCTTAACAATTCCATTAGAACACCGATTTAGCAAGAAAACTGAGCACACTCTATCCTAAGAGAGAAATCACTCAACTCCCTTTATTCTTCATGTGAGCAACAGAAGGAAGCTCCCATCAGCCTTCTCCTGGCTCTGCCCCTCCCAGCTGAGGCTCCTGAACTGCAGGGCTCAGTCTGCCTCTCCTCACGCTGCTCCTTTGTTTAAAAGAAGACATTAAATCCACTCCAACTGCTCTCATTGGAGAGCTGCTGATCTAAACATCGAGTGGCTGGTTAAAATTAGTTTGAACTACTTCCTTTTCTGGAAACAGAGTTTCAGCAACAAAATCAGAGTTTGAAACTGAAATAAAAGCAGGGAACTAAGATGCAAAACAGATGCAAAGCTGATCTTTAAATGTTTCCTGAAAAACCTACACTGTGGGAGCTCGAGAGTGTGGGACCATCAGCACCTCCCTCGAGCTGCCCCAGCAGATACATCAAACCCTGGAACCCCAGGCACTGCCTGAGGAGCTGTCCAGGAGCCAGCAGAGTGTCCTGGGGGCCAGAAGGGTCCCTGGCATCCTGGGGGCATTGGGAAAAGCATTCCCAGCAGGTCAGGGAGTGACCCTGCCCCTGTGCCCTGCCCACGGGAGGCACCTTTCAGTCCAGTTCTGGGCTCCACAGCTCAAGACCAGGAGCTACTGGAGAGGGTCCAGTGGAGGCCACAAGGATGATTCGGGGTCTGGAGCATGTCCCTGATGAGGTGAGGCTGTGGGAGCTGGGCCTGGTCAGTCTGGAGAAGGGAAGGCTGAGAGGGGATCTCATCAGTTCATAAAATATCCTCAGGGGTGTCAGAGGATGGGGCCAGACTCTGGGCAGTGGTGCTCAAGGGACAGGACCAGGAGCAATGGCCAGAAATGGAAACATTACAAAKTGCACCTGCATGTGAGGAAGAATTGCCCATGGAGGGGACCCAGCCCTGGAGCAGCTGCCCAGGGAGGGGCTGGAGTGTCCCTGTCTGGACACATTCCTGTCCAGCTCTGGCTGAGCTCCAGAGGGTCCCTCCAAGCCCAGCTGTTGTGAGGGTCCTTTCTGGGCTCAGGCCTTCCATGAGGGCCCAGAGCAGCCCCTTCTACACRCAGAGCCCCTCTCCCTGCTCTGCTCAAACCCAGCACCGACACCAAACTGAGCCCCCACTGCTCTGGGCAGAGCCTCACCTTGCTTTGTGAGTGCATCCCTCAGGGCTGGTGTGATCATCTCTCTCCTCTCAGCCTCCTCCTTCCTCCCAGCTCCAGCAGCTCCTTCCTGCAGCTCTCTCTGTTTGGAGACAGGGAATCACAGCCAGTTAGACCCAGGCATGGCACCTCAAACGCTGGGGCACAGCTGCTGAACAGGAACTGAGGCAAGTGCTCACACAGCAATTCCGGCTTGGGGGWAATCCTGCATTTCATCCCTCTTCCCATCAGCAACTTAGGGCAGTAAACTGGAAAAGAAAAACCCCACAGCACACTSGATTTGTCCCACCAACACAGAAATAAAATTCCCAAGGATATTTTAGTGACCAGGGTAAGAAACCTCATCCTGGAGTGACTCCAGGTTTTAGCCCAAGTGTTTCATGGGTGCACAACAACCTCACAGAAACCAAAGCAGTGTGTGCCTGGAATGCCTCTGTTTGAGAGAGCTCAGGGGAGAATCCCCAGGAGCTCAGGGAGCAGAGGAGCTCTCACAGCCACCTGCACCACCAAAACTCAGCCACACCAAGGGCCTGCTCCCCCTGCCCCACAGCCAACTCCATCCATGCCAGTCTGGCTTTCATGCTTTCCACATAATGCCCTTGCAATCACTTAACACCAGGAGCAGGACCATCAGATTTTGGGCTAAAGGCATAAGCAGGAGAAGCAAACCCTGGCACGTAACAAGCGGTGACTCCCCTGCTGCGGCAATGGCACTGCTGAGACTTTATGGGTATTTATTGTTTCATGTCTGCACAAAGAAGCATCAAAGTGGAAATAATTACTTGGATATTTCATGAAACTTGTAATCTGTCAGTCCTTTATGGCTTTTATTAAAGGAGTTATGGATAAACAACAAACAAAAACTAGCAGAGGACATTTTGTCTTGACAAAACTGAGGCTATTTCACATCCAAGCCTCTTTAGTGCCAAARCCATGGAAAAGTTAATGGAAATGCTTCCAGTTTGAGTCTCCCCACCAAYTGTCAGCATCACTAAGGAAACCAGTGCTCCTGACTTGCCAAACTGCTCGTCACAAACAGGCAGAGGAATCTGGCTGCTYCTGCATGTAAACAGACTGATTCTGTACCTGAGCAACACTGCAGAAAATAAAAGGKGCCTCAAAAGAAACATCAATTTCAATAATACAACCCACACACACAGACTCAGAAGTTCAAGGAGAAAACAGAGTTCCTAATAAACACCTGAGAAGGAAATAGGAGAGTAAAACATATAGGAACACATTATTACCTTCCCTACTCATTTTGGATAAAACTGTGCTCACAGCCTCAGAGGTGTTGATCAGAAATGTATTTTTCAACAACCAGTACCACAAYATGATCCTTTCTGAAGGAGAAAGCTGTATCCATCTTCTACTTCCTTCCACTCAGCTCCCTGAGCTTTTAGGCAGGACTTCATCRGTTTCTGTAACACATCAAAACTTCCCTGGAAGGCTACATCTGATAATTAATTGTCATTTAGTGGGTTTAAAGCTCATTTCTTGAGCCTTGATCTTCATTTATCAGCAAGACTCTTCAAYGGTAAAATATTAATATTGCTGGGAAAGCCTCATGCATAAGGAAGGAAGGAGATGGAAGATGAAGATTTTATCTGTCAAGTGTTAAATAAAGAGCTGGTCCTGCCACAAGCCATCACTTAACCCAGAAGCAGGCCCCAGGCAAGGCACTGCCCCAGCACAGACTGACACCTGAGCTGCTGGAGGGCGGGGGAGTGGAACTGGAGAAGCTCCAGGGTCCTCTCCCACCCAAAWCACTCCCTGGTGCTATGATCTGTGACCCCCTCAAAGTGCCGAGCAGGATTTAAATGTGGACCATCAGCCCAGGCCAGGTCAATCCTCCCACAAAAACTGAATCTCCATTATGGAGCACATCCCAATATTAAAAATGCAGCCATTGATTTAACAAAACGAGCCACCCCATCCAAGAGAGCCTCCAAACACAGACCAAGTCTTTCTGTGTGAAAAGATTTGCAYTTCTACCTCCCTGTCACTGTAGCAGCAGAAAAAGGCACCTAAACAGAACAACATCCCAGATCCTTCCTGGCAGGGCAGAAATAAGAGTTCAGTGATCATTTTCCCCTCCCAGAGAGGCTCAGAATTTTCCCTGCTCATAATTTTCCCCTGCCCACATCCTGACAACAGAGCCTGTAAACAAATCCACGCTTTGTTCTTCCCTGCCCTGCAATACCTGACCTGTTCACTTTGGCAAGGTGATTGGCTCCACAGCCTCCTGGTGAGAAATGGAATCCACTGCACAAGGAGTTTTACTCATTTGCTTCATATACCTTTCAGATCTGTTATTTAGGGTTGGGGAGGAGAGAACAAAGCTAACTTTGCACAGAGCAAACTTCTCCAGTTGTGGTGATTTAGAAGAAAGCCCTGCAGTAAATCCAAGGCAAATCACTGTCTTTCCATAATAAATCAAGCAAKCAGTGACAAGAGCCAGATTTTCAGGCCCATGAAATACTGCACTGCCAAAAACTGGAGGTGCAGCTCACAAAGGAGGGAGTCCAGAGATGAGGAAAACCTCTGGATACACCCRGATTCCTGTAAGGCTCAGCACCGCTCCACTGCAATCTGGAGGGGTTTGGTTCTGACCCTGGAGCAGACCTGAACAAAGGCAGCTGAGCCTCATCTATGATCTCCTGCCTGCAGGTAAAGGCAAAAGGAATCCCTTCCCTCCCCTCTCACACAAGCAGGAAAACACAACTTCCATGGGTCAAGAGCCCCTGACAAGTGAGGGCCTCAGCACTCCCTTCCCCAGGATAAATCAGGGCTTTCCCCAAATGTGCCTTTCAAACTCAGCCACAGCCATCCCCAAATGAGCCCCACAGGATGTGCCCAACAGGATGCGCCCAACAGGAGGTGCTACTGCCACTTGTGCTCTCTGAAGTTCCCTCTCCAGAATCTCAACAGCTGCCAGTGTTTTCCCATTTCATCCATCAAACACTCTTCAAATGGATCATGCAGGAGGGAGAAAAATAGAAAAGGCACCAAAACTCCACATAAAGGCTGGGAAAGTTGGGRCTGTTCAACCTGGAGAAGAGGAGGTTGTGTGGAGACCTCACAGCACCTCCAGGGTCTGAAGGGGCTCCAGGGAAGGCAGAGGGACCCTGCATTGGGAATTGGAGGGACAGGACAAGGAGTAACAGGTTCAATCTGAAAGAGGGGAAATTTAGCTTAGATATTAAAGAGAAATTCTTCCCTGTGAGGGTGGGGAGGCCCTGGCACAGGCTGCCCAGAGAAGATGTGGCTGMCCTGGATYCCTGGAAGTGTCCAAGGCCAGGYTGGATCACCTTKGGATAGAGGAGGGTGTCCCTGYCCAGGGAACAAGAAGAGCTTTAAGRTCCCTTCAAACCCAAACCAGTCAATGATTCCCTAAATTAACTTAACACTTTTAACCTCATGGCTCTATTTATTGATGTGCCATGGCAAGGAAAAAGAGCTTCCCCATAAGCTTTCAGTCTCAGAAAGAAGTTTACACCCAATTTTGACTCAACTTCTTTCCTGCTTAACCTCCCTGTGGTCAGACAAMGGTAACCCCTGGCCCTGCCATGATTTACAGCCTCATCCAACCCCAGGCTCCAGGATCTTTTCCCAACTGAAAGGCACAAGCAAACAGAAGAGCTCAGGGCTGGAGCCAGCACTAACAGAACAGCATGGAGGGAAACGCTGGCCAGGCTGTCAGGAAAAGCTGCCTGGCAGCAAGAAGGATTAGCAACGCTTCCCCAGGGACTGAGCAATGAACTAGGAAAGTTCACGAATGACATGAATGGAGAGTTAAAGTTCACAGCGAGCAGAGCTCTGGCAGCAATGCTCCAGGGGCAGCAGGACAGCCAGCAATGCTGACAGCTTCTCTCCTCGCTCAGCCTCCTCTGGCAGGACCCYCACTGGCAGGAACCACGTGGGCATTCAGGGAATCTGATGGGACACCAGGCTGCCCACAGGAATGGCACTCATTTCCTCACCAACAACCTTCCTGTGAGGCTAAAACACATGGAAAGGGACAGGGAGCCCACCTGCACAGACACCCTTGAACACAAGAGAGGAGCAGAGGGCGCACTGTGGGCACTGTCCYGCTGCAGGAACAGCGTGACTGTCACTGCTCAGAGGTGTGACAGGCACAGACAGAGCTGCAATTTGCTCAGCCCGTGGAGGAACACCCTGTCAATCCCCCAGCATCCTGGCTCTCGCTGCTGCCAGTCACCAGCTGAGATGGCCCCAAGCTCCTGCTGCAGAGAGGAGAGCTGAGAATTGGGAGTGAGTGAGCTGTGAACCAGCAAACAACACAAGAGACACAAAACCTTATTAAAAACAGCTGCCAGAGCCACCATAATCACAGGCTACACACCCACCGCAGACAGCATGGCCCAGGGAAGCACAGCGAGCTGAGAGCAGCACAGCTGAGATGGGAACGGGGCAATGCAGCACCTGGCCATGGCTGAAACATCAGCTGCCTGGGGCAGAAGGAAAAATGGGGGCAGCTGCTWTCAAAAAGTGGCCCTGAAGCCACAGAATCACAGAATGCATTAGGTTGGGTTGGACCTTAAACTCATCCAGTGCCACCCCTGCCATGGCAGGGACASCTCCCACTSTCCCAGGCTGCTCCCAGCCCCAATGTCCAGCCTGGCCTTGGGCACTGYCAGGGATCCAGGGGCAGCCACAGCTGCTCTGGGCACCCTGTGCCAGGGCCTCTCCACCCTCCCAGGGAACAATTCCTKCCCAATATCCCATCCATCCCTGTCMYCTGGYAGTGGGAAGCCATTCCCTKTGTCCTGTCCCTCCAGCACTTGTCAGCAGTCTTTCTCCATCTTTTCTGTAGGCTCCGTTCAAAATTTTCTTTCCTTCAGGGCAAGGCCCTGAGAAATTCTGACTGATACCAAAAAAGTCAGAAAAAAAACCAGCTTCAGAAACAGGACTGTTCTCTCCTGAAGTATAAACCCATGTGAATTTTAAAAGAGCAGCTGGAACCCCCATTTTCCTCCCTATGCTGTAGGGTAAAAGAAGTTATCCTAAGGCAGCAGGTCCCAGTTCCCACCTAAACAAAGGAAAACAGACCTGCAGCTC